CTTCCTGGATAGATGTCAGCCTCTCCCAAAACTTGTAAACTTTTCAGCTATTATTTTGTCAAATAGGTTTTCTGTGCCTTTGTTTTTCTCTGATCCCTCTGGCATTTCTATAGTACATATATTTGTTTGCTTAATGATGTCCCTTAAGTCTCATAGACTTTCTTCATTCCTTTTTTTGAGGTTCATAAATTTATATATTTTTTACTTCCAAATGTTCATCTGACCAAAATTCAGCATAACCTTTATGGAACACTTAACAACTGTTTTGTATTTAAAATAACATTTCATTCAAACTGTATATAATTCAGTAAAATTTGTATACAGCAAGCAATGCTTAAGACCTGGAAAATCTGCAGAAAAGAGATTTAGACACAAAATAAGAAAAGAAAAATCTGAGATATCCCTCCCACACACATATGCATTCATTCTGGCCTATGTACATGTACACACACACACACACACACGCACCCCTCTGTGTGTTCACACAGACATATTTATTTTCACTCACAAAGTGGCTATAGCATAGACAAAAGATTGTAGGTCCAAAGGAAAATGATTGATTGTTCTAATAAAGAGTGCATGTAGCTCAAAAAGTAGTCTTCTGAGGAAATTACTACCTCAAAAATGTTCTTAAGGTAAATTTGAGATCTAAGCCTACAAAATTAGTTTTGCAAAATAGCTCCTGCAGTCCAACGTGACTTGTGCAAATAGAAGGGATCAGATAAAGCTAGTTTCTATACTTTCTTAAACAAGGATGCAGGATACTTGCTGGTGCCTAAGGGCACTCCCATCATTACAGGTACTGCTGCAGTGCCATCTTTGCCTTGTCACAAAGGTTTGAATCTCGTGGCTAACTCAGTTTTTGTAGAATATCTATGATGCCTATGCCTCATAATTTATCCTGGCATTCTTGTGAACATTCTTCTTCATTCAATATGAGGTTCGATATACAAAACATAGCTGGAAGCTTCAGTCTGACGTGGGACTAATCCATGTAATATTTCATTTTTTGAAGGATATCATCATTGGTCATAATAAATTCTTTTGCTGTTGTCTCATCTGCTGTGTTGACTAAGATGCACAGTATCTACTCTTTGACCTTAAAGTTATGTTCCCCTTCCAGAACAAGGTGATAGCTTGCATAGTTTACTTTCCATAAGTATTCATTATTTTATCTGTATGAGGCCAGGTCAAGAGGAGATTTCTTTTTTTTTTTGAGACGGAGTTTCGCTCTTGTTACCCAGGCTGGAGTGCGATGGCGCGATCTTGGCTCACCGCAACCTCCACCTCCTGGGTTCAGGCAATTCTGCTGCCTCAGCCTCCTAAGAGGAGGTTTCTAAGAAGTCCCAGTGTCTTCATCAGCACATTCAAATCTGAATCTGATAACATCCAGAATATCTGTTCAGTATTCAAGCTTTGTGAAATGTTTGCTTTTATTTTTTGTTCAACCTGAAATGCCATATTCATTAAAGCCCAAATTCTATTCACTTGTAAAGCAGGATTTTCACTCTGGGTTAATCTACAAAGTAGCTCTACAACTCCCGATTTTAAAATTGGCTCTTTTCCTGGAGAAAATTCAAGAAGATTACATATTGTGGAAGATGCTACCACTAAGATTTCATCTGGTGCATTTTGTAAAACCTTCATTAAATGTTTTCAGACAATGTGATCCTAGAAACTGTTTTGAAGCTGCTGCACAGATCTCTATAAAGGGTGCAAACATCTGACAGCAGCTAACCACACCTTGACACTAGACTCAGACAAGCCAGCCACAATTCAGCCCATCGTATTTTTCAGTCTCAATGCTCTTCTTCTGAATGTCTTCATCATTTGCTCCAAGAGAGTCATAGAGCTTGAATGCAGCCTGGCAGAATTCATGTACATGTTTTAAATCATGATCAAGTCTTTTAATATCAGTGATGGCACTCAATGAGTTGGGATACTGGAAACAGTCAGAAAACGGCAATGAGGTGAGCAGTTATGCTGGCGATTCTCTGTAGGTCAATATCTGGTTCAGTCAGATAGGCAAGTGTCTCAGCTTCTTTAACTCTCTCCTCTAGTAATCTCTTCTTACTGCACAAACAAGGCAATGTCTTTAATACAGTTGTTATCTGTCTGAATTGTTCCAGCTGTATGCATGTGAGTTTAACATTTTGCTGATGTAAGCTGTATCTCAATATACTTAGCCCTCCGTAACATCTTCACAAAAATCTGTGATAACAATTCTGCATCAACCAAAACATTTACCAGGATGTAGGATGTCCTGGTAAAACTGAGAAACAGTTCAGTGCTTGCATTTGAACTTTGTAGAACAGTGAGGTTAGTAGCTGAGCAGTGTTCTGAACTACGCCATGGATACATAAAATTGTTTGATGACCTGGCCCTTTACAACAGTGTGAGACAATACAACAGATGTACTCCCGGGTATAGTGGAACCTGCAAAGCAGTGCCATGAGGTGCAGTGTCACTGTGGCATCTGTATACAGTAGCTCCTTTGGAGTAACAAGTCTAGAGAAAATGGTATGCAGGCATTGGAGACAAGCTTCAGTGAACTTCAGGTCTGGGGACAGCAGTTCTTGTTGTAAGGCTGGGATTAAACGAGTCAGTAGAGACTTGACATTGTTTTCAGTGCCCATAGAAAGACCTCCCAGCACCACTGCACATTCAGTTTTCAGCTCTGCACTTGAGGTTTCTTGCTGAAGCAAGCACAACGATCTTGGAACAGCTCTGAAAACAATGAGACTGTTTTCTGCTTGCTTCAAATTACAGAATTTTTTATGTCTCATTTTAGAGTCAGACAGCTCAAATTTGTTGCAAAATCCATCGAAGTTATCTTCCAGAAACTTTCATTCATGGTCTAAAAGGAAGCTAATACGGATTGGAGTCTCCAGCAAGCACACGATCTCAAGCCTTCCCACCTGGCTGCTCTCATTCTTCTTTATTCTCATTTTCTTTTCTGCCAAGGTTATTTCAAAAGATCTGTCTTAAAGTTTCAGAATTCTTTTTCATCCTTCCTCTTATACTTCTCCTCCTCTTCCTCCTTCTCTTTCAACTTCTTCTTGACAAGGTCTCACTCTGTCACCAAGGCTGGAGTGCAGTGGTATTATCAAACTTACTGCAGCCTTGAACTCCTGGGCTCAAACAATCCTTCTGCCTCCGCTTGCAAATAGCTAGAACTACAGGCATAAGCCACCATGGATACTGTCTTAAGCACTGTGGTTAGATAAGCAGCTGTTAAGCAGTACATCTTTATAGAAAGAAAAAGAAAATAGAATGCCTCTAATTCTACCACCCAGAGATGACCCCTTTTAATAACTCAGGATTATGTTGATTCATAGTCTCAGTGTAGAAACTGGCTGGTCAGTGAGGGTGGGAAGATACTTGAACAGGGACATCTGCTTTATTGCCCTCTCTATGACACCACAATTCATCATCCTGTGGTCCACTGCCAGCCCTATTCTGCTTCCATTTCTTGTACTGTGGGTATTGAGCACATCCTGAGTGCTCCTACAGCCTGTGGCCATGTTGGCTGATGCCTTTACTCTGATTTAGTCCCAGTTGCTCTCCATCTTTCAAGGTCTTCTGGTAGTTTCCATGTCCCTGATACAGCCCCTTCTTGTTTTCTAGTATGGTTATGCATTTTCTCTCTCTCTCTTTCCTTCCTCCCCCCTTTCCTCTGTTCCTCCCTCCCTTCCTTCTTTTCTTTCTTTCTTTCCTTTTCTTCTTTTCTTTCTCTTCTTTCTTTCTTTCTCTTTCCTTCCTTCCTTTTCTTCTTTTCCTTCCTTCCTTCTTCTTTTTCTTCTTTTCTCCTTCTCTCACTCTCTCTCTCCCCCTCCCTCCCCCTTCCTCCCTTCCTCCCTCCCTCTCTCTCTCTCTCTCCCCTTCCATCCATCCATCCATCCATCCATCCATCCATCCATCAGTTTAAGGGTTTTCTATGGGATGGGGAGACTGGTTTATGTGCTCTGTTTACCTTCCTAAAAGTTTACAGTTATATCACATATTTGACAGCTTGAGTCTCACTCACCCCCACCCCATCCCTTATCAGATATTTCAGATCCATGGTTAGACGTAACTGTGGAGTACTGGCATTTTAAAGACTTACTGGGTAATATGCCATGCTTATGGAATCCCCAGAGGAGTCCTCTTTTCTGAGATGTCTGAGAGAACAGTAGGTGCTGGCTAGGGAAGGAAGGTCAGCAGATGGCTGGAGGATGCTGCTGGAGTTGGGAAGAGCATGACAAAGATGTGGACGTATATGATAGAATGTGCTGTGGTGGCCTTGTGGAAATCAGAGCAGAAAGAACAAAGTGTGGTGGGAGTCCCAGAAAGGAGGCATCTCTTTGAAGAGAAGCCATAAGAGTGCTGCCATGTGTTTTAGACATGAGACAGTGACAGTCCTGTCCCACAGATAGTGGGGGCTGGAGAGAACAGTGTCTGCAGCCTGTAGTCCAGGAGTCTCTCTCTCGCCCCAGCAGCCCAGCAGTGGCTCAGGAGTGAGCTGATGCTTCTTGACCTTGACAATGCTAATTTCTTGTGAAGTGAAGGATTAGTCTCAGGGCCCCTCACTCACACAGGACCCTTCCAAGGCTCTGGGAGAGTGGGAAGAACCCTGTTAAAGTGTTTACATGGTCATATGTCTCCCTTAAAATATGAAAAAGTAAGATATTTTGTAGTATTACTTTAAAAGGATGCCCTAATTATATAAGCTTTGAGCCCCATAGAACTGGATTCTGCCCCTAAATGAAGGACTTAATTCCAGTTAGCAGAGACATTGGATAAACAATCAAGCTGGAGAAAAAAATATGAAAGATTATACCACTTAGGGAAGACACACTACAGGTGAGCATCCTTGGCTCTGAGAAGGTGAAGTTTAAAAAGATCAGATGGTCTTAGTGGGCTACAAGACAAACTTCTTGACATGATGTTCAAGGCTAAAGGGTGAATGACTACAGCAATGACTGATGATACAAATGTGATTTTTTTTGGCCATTTTGCAGGACCAGGCAGTTAAATGGCACCTGTACCAGCTCGGTAGACATGGAGCTCTTCCTCCATTACTCCCTCATCCCATCAGTAAGTAAATGCAGGGGAAGGGTGAGGAGGGCAGGAAAGGGCAGCTGGGCCACTGCCAAACACAGACTCCCAAACAGACCTGAAAGTTCAGGGGAGAGAGATCAGCTGCGTTTCTTTCCAAAATTTCTTACATTGTATACCCAAAATATGGCAATAGAAGGCTTTTAAGGACCCAAGAATCAAGCATATGGGCTTTTAGGGAAGTCAAACCGGCTTTTCTGACGAAGTAATGACAGAGCTGAGGTCAGTTGGAAGATGTAGTTAAGTATATTGCAGACAGGGGAGAGCTCATGCAAAGGCTGTGTGGAGGGAGGGAGAAGGCAGAGTGGGAAGAGCTGAGAAGTTCAGCCATGGCTGGACTGGAGAATTGAAGTAGAGAGGTCTGGGGAGGTAGGCAGGGCAGGCCAGGTAAAGCCCTATGGGGCTCTGTGTTAAGTTTTGCCTTCATTCTAAGTACAGTGGGAAGTAATGGAAGTGTTTCCATGAAGGTGGTATGATCATATTTATACTTCTAAACGATCTCTCTGGTTACAGTGTGGAGATTGAGTTGGAAGTGGGCAAGAGACAAGGCAGGGAGACCAATCTTAGGGTTCAGAATCGGTTTCCAAGCCATTGCGGCTCTCAGCACCCAGGGCTGCTGAAATATGCTTAAAACATCTCACGGAGACGCAGCTCACTATGGAAAAGACCTTCCCACACTTGAGACTATAGCTACCTCAGGAGGCAGGAGGGAGAGAGCTCCCTGTGACTGGAGACAGCAAAGCTTCTTGTTAGGATGGCACCATGGGTCACGCACCACGAGAGCTTTCAGAGCTTTTCTCGCTCTGCCATTTTGAGTATCTGCAGTTCATGTCGCATTTTTCCTTGAGTTCTGATTGCTCCTATCTGTTCATCACTTCTTGTCATCATCTTCATCATCATGCAGTTAACATTATTGCATACCATCTGTGACCCTCTCACCTTCAGGGATCCAGGTGTGATTTTATCTCATCCTAGGTAATGATGTCAACTCCAGAAGTTCAGGAGGTAAAAACAATAGGACTTGTAATGGGCTGGGTAGGAAGGTTAGGGAGAGGAGGAGGTTGAAGATGACTTGGGTTTCTAATTTGCACAACTGAAAAGGTTATGGCAGCTGCCATTCACTCATTAAGGAAAATTAGAAGAGACCCAGGTTTAAGGTAGTTAGAAGACAGTGGCTCATGCCTGTAATCCTAGCACTTTGGGAGGCTGAGGCAGGCAGATCACTTGAGCCTAGGAGTTTGAGAACAGGACAGGGAACATGGCAAAACCTCATCTCTACAAAAAATACAAAAATTACCTGGGGGTAGTGGCCCAGCTACTCAGGAGGCTGAGGTGGGAGGATCAACTGAGCCTGGGAGTTTGAGGCTACAGTCAGCCGTGATTGTGCTATTACACTCCAGTCTGGGTGACAGAGTGAGACCCTGTCTCAAAACAAGAGACAAATTGAAGCTTTTGATAAAAGCTTTGAGCTTTCAATACATTAAAAAGAAATATCAACTGTGTAGTTGGTTAGGTAGTTTTGGAGTTCATGGACAAGGTCGGGGCTGGAGATTCATATTTAAGTCTTCTGTGTATTGATGGTCATTAACACCTGTAATCCTAGTGCTTTGGGAGGCTGGGGTGGGAGGATCACTTGAGGCCAGGACTTTTGAGACCAGCCTGGGCAACATAAATGAGAGGTCATCAAGGAGAGGTCATCAAGGAAGAGAAGATCAGGTAAGAAGATGAGTAGCCCTTGGACTGAGCTATAAGGAACTGCATCTAGGGCTGGGGTAAAGAACGATCCAGCAGAGGATACAGAGAAATAATGGGGAAAAATCAGGAAAGCATGTTTGATGAAGGCCTAGGGAAGCGAGTACTCAAAGAGGAGGGAATGGCCAACACTGTAGAATGCTGCTGAGAGATCAAGCTAGATTTGGACTTCAAGTATACATGGGACTGAGCCACAAAACAATCATAAGTGACTTTCACCATAGCTTTTTCAGCAGAGTGAAGGGGGTAGAAGCCAGATTAGGGGATTCAGGAGCCAGTGAGAGGTAAAGGAATGGAGACACAAGTGTAGAAAATTCTCAAGAAGTTTCTGATAAAGGCAGGAGGGAGAAAGAGCATCAAGTTTGTGAGAACATGACTGAATACATAGGAAAGCAGCAGAGAAGGCTTTGCAACCTGGCAGTTAGTACTGCCTTTTGACAGATGAGGAAACTGAGGTACAGGAAAGTTAAATCTCCCTCTCAACCAGGATGTGAGAGAGACCAGATTTGAACCTACATCTTTTCAGGGAAACAGAAGGGAAAGCTTAGTACAGAACATTCTGGTAGCTCAAGGGCGCATGCAGTCAGCCCTCTGACTCTGGAGTTTGAGGTGTCACTAACGTTCTATGCACTCTGCTGACCCACACATTTGCTTTCAGGGAGGGCTTAGAGGCCACACTGAGGATGAACATGCCCACTAATTCTCTCATCTTCTCTTCTTGCAGCTCTTCATCATTTTGATCTTGTCCTTCCTCCAAAGACGAGAGTATTGTAGACAGAGAGATGATACCTCTTACCTCCTGGGGAACCGCTTTGGAATTATCATGTGAGTTGAGTCAACCCCTACAGCTTGGGTTACCCTGTGGTTGGAGTCAACACCAATTATGAGGTCAGGTAGCTCCTAGGACCCCTGCTCCACCTCTACCTCACTCTGCACAGCCCTGCCCCTCCATGCCCCAACCCAACCAAAGCTCTTAGAGTTCAGAATTGGTTTCCAAGCCATTGTGGCTCTCAGCACCCAGGGCTGCTGAAATATGCTTAAAACATCTCATGGAGACCCAGCTTACTATGGAAAAGACCTTCCTACACTTGAGACTATAGCTACCTCAGGAGGCAGGAGGGAGAGAGCTCCCTGTGACTGGAGACAGCAAAACTTCTTGTTAGGATGGCACCATGGGTCATGCACCACGAGAGCTTTCAGAGCGTTTCTCGCTCTGCCATTTTGAGTCTCTGCAGTTCATGTCGCATTTTTCCTTGAGTTCTGATTGCTCCTATCTGTTTCATCACTTCTTGTCATCATCTTCATCATCATGCAGTTAACATTATTGCATACCATCTGTGACCCAAACACTGAACCATTTGCTTTGCCGAATTTTGACAAATCCTCTTGCCAATCTAGCATGGTAGAAGTTGTTATCCTTGTGCAATGGATGAGAAAACTCATGCTCAGAGAGGTTAAATGACCAGTCCACAGCCACACAGCTAACAAGTAACAAGAGCTTTAGCCCAGATCAGCTTTATATTCTCTTGAATCCCCAGTGTTATAACTTGAGCAGGCTCAAGCTGTGGACCTGCTGAGGTCTCAGCCAAGGACTCTGGAGAAGAGAGAGAAACAGATGTCAGAACTGAGGCAAGGAGGGACCTAAGCTGCAAGTGAGAGATTCATTCGGGATACCACCCACTGGGCAGTCCATACTTTTCAAGCTGCCAGGCCTGAGACCCATTGATTGAGGGAAAAAAAACTGAAGCTGGTGGATAAAGACATTCAGTTCTGTCCTGGACATTTAGCATGTAGGGGCTGGCACAGGACTTTATAAGAAGTAGGAGGCCATAGCAATTACATTCAACTGCTTTGAATTGCATTGATAATGACACAATTGACTTGCTCCCTGGCTACTTTCCCACCTAAACCCCTGCTTATCTGATAATTTTGGCCCACCATCTTTTCCAAGCAATGACCCCTCACACGTGTGTGGCACTGTGCGGCTGATAAAGCAGTTCATCATTTGCTGTCCGCAATGACTATGATATGGGTAGAGTAGGCGATTCTATCTCTGTTTTAAAGATAAGGAAACTGTGTCTCACATAGCTCTTAAGTACTACAGATGGAATCTTGAGCAGAATTTGATCCAATTCAACAAAATGTATGTCCACAAACCTGCACTAAGTACCTACTCTTTCCAAGGTCCTGTGCTCAGTCCCTACCCCAGAGGAGTTTATAGTTTACTAAACAAGTAGAGAGCTAAGGTTATAAGGAAGCAGAGATTCTAAGTCAGAGAGGAAATGATATGACAGAGCTAGACCCTATCTCAAAAGGGTCTGGTGTGGTGGCGCCCACCTGTAGTTCCAGGTACTCAAGAGGCTAAGGTGGGAGGGTCGCTTGAGCTCAGGAGGTTGAGGGTGCAGTGAGCCAAAATTACACCATTATACTCCAGCCTGGGTGACAGAGATGTGCTGAACAGGGACATGAACTTAATGCTGAGGGGACACAGATGGGCAGCCTCACTGGAGATGGGTGATCAGGGAGGCTTCCTAGAAGGCGTGCTCCTGCTGAGCCTTAAAGGTGAAGGTGAGTGAGCCAATGAGACTTCCTGCCTCCCGTGCCTGGCTCTCCCTTCCCTCCTGAGTTTTCATTAAGGTCCACTTTAAATGGCCCTTTTCATTCAAAGAGCCTTTTTTCTTCTCCCAAATGCAACTGCTTCCTCTGATCTATACAGAGCTGTCTTGGTTAGAAGAAATAGGTATTCATGCAAGCTTGTTTACATTAAAGGAAGATTTTTTTTTTTTTTTTTTTTTTGAGACAAAGTCTAGCTCTGTCACCCAGGCTGGAGCATAATGATACAATTGTGGCTCACTGCAGCCTCAACCTTCTGGGCTCAAGCGATCCTCCCAGCTTAGCCTCCCAAGTATCTGGGACTACAGATGGGTGCCACCACACCTGGCTTATTTTTGTATGTTTGTAGAAACAGGGTTTCACCAAGCTGCCCAGGCTGGTCTCAAGCTCCTGGTTTCAAGCCGTTCACTTGACTTGGCTTTTCGAAGTGTGGGATCACAGATGTGAGCCACTGCACCTGGCAAGAAAGGATTTTTTTAAACAGATGTGGAGGTCTCACATAAACGTACAAATCAGGCCTCATGGAAACTGGATCTCTTGAGATGGGAATCTGTGGGAGACTGATTTTCTTCTCTCTCTGCCCCTCTGTGTCACTGGTGCCTCCTCAGCACCGTTCTGCAATTTTCCTCGCTGACTTAGAATCTCTGCTTCGCTATAGCCTTGGCTCTCCTCTGGCGTTGACTCTGATCGCAACTTCTTATGACTTTCCAGACAAGGACTTTAACAGCTAACTCGTTCCTGTCCTTAGGGTCACAGATTCAAAACGTAAGACAAGACATCTGATCAGCCCATCCAAAGACAGGCCCATAGTCCAGTCAACTGCGGCTAGGAAGGCATGATTATTTTGGGGAGGCAAAAGCTTACCTCTACCCTCTTAGTTTTTTCAGCTGGGCCTGGGAATTATAATGTTGGTTTTATGTGACACAGGAGCCCTTATAAGGAAATGAAGACCCAAATACACAGTTAGAGGTGAATATGTACACATCGAATTGGACAAAGAATAGTTAAGTTGTGAAAAAGTAACTAAATTGTGCAGGGAGACTAGCAGGCAAGAGTTATTTAAATAAGGTCTGTACCAAATTCTCTTGGTCTCAACTTCCTGTCCCTGATGATAAGAATGTTATTTTCCTTCTGTATGGGGAGAGCATTTTTTACATAGAAATTTCATCTCCTGTTTTTAAGAAATAGCATGAAGGACAGAATGATCTTGTACCTGCTGTTTTTTAAGTGTGTTTAACTCGAAACAGTTGATAAGCCAGAGTAGCATATTTTAGGGTGGCTTATTACTTCTTCAAACACAGACATAGCAAATGACACCTGTACCTAGACCCTCTTTAGGGATATTGGAAGGAAGAATTCTCATAGAATATGGCTGGATGAAGGCAGGCTTCCTCTAATCTGTCTCGGACACATACTCCTTGTTTTGGTCCTTGAGTCTTTCTGTCTGTGTCTCTTATAGATGAAACTCATCCCATTTTGCCTTCATGCCTTCTGGTGTCCTTGCTTGTATCCCCTGCTAGTCTTGGAGCTCCTCCAGAGCAAGAGTTTTGTCCTCCTCACTTCAGTACCCTGAATCCATGCTTAACCCTAGGCCTGGCACAGAGGGCCCTGTGAAATGTCAGTTGCAATGAGCAGCTGACTATTCAATAATCCCTCCTCAGGATGGGATCACTACTTTGGTGATATCTGTGGGAATGTCTCAGAGCCACCTTCTGGCCTCATACACTGTTTCTGTTGTTTGCAGGCCTCTGGACTTCGTGGGCACTTTCAGTAACCGATGGTCCTATGGAATCGCCTTTGGGGCCACAGCCAATAAGGTCATGTTTTTGTTCTCAGAAGGCTACCAGCCCCTGCAGATCCCGCACTGGGCCCAAGGTACTAGGACTGCCTCATACCTGCTAGAAACTGCATCATGGAAATTCTTGCTCTCAGAGACCTTGTGGCCCGTGCTCTCTGGGATCAGGGCATAAACTTTGTGAACGATCATGTTCTTGCCAGCCTGTCACTTGCCCAAGGTCAATGCCTAGCCCACAGATCTTTAAAGCTTCTTTGAGGGGATCTGCCCAGTTAGATTCAGAGGTCCTTTAGACACAATGTACCAAGTCTTAGGAAGTAGGTTCTTCCTCACCTACTTGCCAAAAGCTCTCCTGTGTCATAGCCATGGCTGCCTTCTTGATATTGATGAGCCCTATTCTTCCTCAAAGATCAATGATTGTGTTTTTGGCCATTAGTCTGAGGCCTCATCTTTTCCCATGCCTCATGCTCCATCTGAAGGAGTAACTTTAAGCTACAAGTTCACTTTTCCCTTATGCAATCATTCTAAAACCCCTCTGTTTAGTATAGTTCCCTCTCATGGGCTCCAAGCCTAAATCAAATGCCTACTAACAGGTCATTAGTCTTTCAGAAAATGCAAATTAAAACCAAAATGATATATCATTACACACCTATTAGAAGTACACAGTTTGAGAAGTTTTGCAAATGTTTACATTAATGAAACTATTACCACAATCAGGATAAGGAATCCCAGCGATTTCCTTGTTCCCCTTTGTAATCTCCTCTTTCCTCCCCTCTTCTGTCACTGCTCTCATTTACAAGCAACAAGTAATCTACCAAGTTTGCATTTTCCAGAATTTTGTATAAATGGAATCATACAGGATGTACTTTTTTTTGGAGTCTGGCTTCTTTCAGTCAGCATGAATCTATTTTGAGATTCATACATATGTAACATGTGTTAGTAGCTTATCCTTTTCCTTGCTGAGTAGTATTCCACTATATAAATCAATTACAGTTTAGTTATCCATTCACCTCTTGAGTAATATCTGATTTATTTCTACTTTTGGCCATTGTAAATAAAACTGCTGTGAACGCTTGTGTACAAGTCTTTTCATGTACCCATGCTTCAATTTTCCTTGGGTAAATACCTATGAGTAGAATGGCTGGATTACACAGATCATAGAGTAGATCATACTTTTAAAGAAACTGTCAGACTGCTTTTTAAAGTGATTGTACCACTTTAGATTATTCCCGTCACTATGAGAGTTCCAATTTCTCCAACACTGGTACAGCCCATTTTTTAAATTTTGGCGGTTCTAAGAAGTGTGTCGTGGTTTCTTATTGTGGTTTTAATTTGCATTTTTATAATGACTAATGCTGTTGAGCATATTTTCATGTGCTTATTTGCTATTCCTATACCTGCTTTGATGAAATATCTATTCAAATCATTTGCCTATTGTCAAAAATTGGGTTTTTTGCTTTCTTTTTAGTGAGTTTTCAGAGTTTTAAAAATATATTTTGGTTGTAAGACCATTATTGTACACATGTATGAATTGCAAATATTTTCTTCTAATCTGTAGCTCAAATTTTCATCCTCCTAACAAACTATTTTGAGAAGCTGACATTAATTTTGATGAAATCCAGTTAACTCTTTTTTTTTCTTTTATGGATCATGCTTATGGTGTCATATAAGAATCTTTTCCTAAGATAAGGTCATATAGATTTTCTCCTCTGTTTCTTTCCCCAGAGTTTTATAGCCTCAAATTTTGCTTTGAGGGCTGCAATACATTTTGAACTTTTCTTTTTTTTTTTTCTTTTTTGCGTGTAGTATATAGCAGGAGGTGTGGATTAAAGTTCTTTTATGCCTTTGGATTGCAAAGTATTCTAGCACTATTTGCAGCAAAATCCCGTCCTTTGTCCATTGACATGCCTTTGCACCTTTGTTGAAAAGCAATTGGCCACATCTGTGTGGGTATATTCTTAGACTCTCTATTTTCTCCTATATATCTATTTGTCTATCTTTGCACCAATATCATACTGTCTTGATTATTTTAGATTTATAATAAATATTAAAATCAGGTGGTATTAGTCCTTCGATTCATTTTTTTCAAAGTTGTTTTTGCTATTCTAGGTTCTTTGCATTTCTACATGAAAGAATAAATTTGTCAATGTATACAAATAATGCTGAAATTGAGATTATATCATTTGTACGTTTTTAGATCCATTTTAGGAAAATTGTTATTTTAACGATAGTGAGTCTTCTGACCCATAAACACAATATATCTCTCCTTTTATTTAGAGTTTATTAATTTCTTTCAGCAATGTTTTGTAGTTTTCAGAGAATAGACCTTTCACATCTTTTGTCAGATTTATATGTTTTTTATTTTTTATTGTTCATTGGTAATAAATAGAAATACAGTTGATTTTTATATGTTGATCTTGTATCCTACAACCTTGCTAAACTCACTTATTAGTTCCAGTAGCTTTTTCTATAGATTGTATAGTATTTTCTACATACTACATCATATCATCTGTGAATAAAGGCAGTAGTTTTATTTTTTCTTTTCCAATCTAGAGGTCTCTTATTTTATTGTTATTGTTTTTCCTAATTGCAGAGGGTAAAGCTTCCAAAATAATGCTCAGTACAAGTAATCAGACCAAGCATCCTTCTCTTGTTCTTCATCTTAGGGAAAAATCTTGTTTTTTTAAAGCACTGATTTTGAAGAATTATATTATGATGTATCTAATTTTCTTGATGTGTCGCATGCTTGGGGTTTGTTGATCTCTGCATTTTGATTTTCCGCAAATTTAGAAAAGTTTTGGGCATGGTGAGGTGGCTCACCCCTATAATCCCAGCACTTTGGGAGGCTGAGGCAGGAGGATTCTTGAGCCCAGGAGTTTGAGACCAGCCCGGGCAACATAGTGAGACTCCACCTCTACAAAAATGAAAATAAAATTAGCTGGGCATGGTGTCATAGGCCTGTATTCCCAGCTACTTGGAAAGCTGAGGCAGGAGGATCACCTGAGCCTGGGTGGTTGAAGCTACAGTGAGCCATGACTGTGGCGCTGCATTCCAGCCTGGGCTACTGGGCTACAGAGCAAGAACCTGCCACAAAAAAAAAAAAAAAAAAAAAAAAAAAAAAAAAAAGAAAAAAGAAAAGAAAGGAAGAAAGGCCAGGCACAATGGCTCAAGCCTATAATCCCAGCACTTTGGGAGGCTGAGGTAGGTGGATCACTTGGGATCAGGAGTTTGAGACCAGCCTGGCCAACATGGTGAAATGCCATCTCTACCAAAAATACAAAAATCTAGCCAGCTGTGGTGGCATGCACCTGTAGTTCTAGCTTCTCAGGAGACTGAAGCAGGAGAATCACTTGAACCCAGTTGCAATCAGCCCAGCCCGTGCCACTGCCCTCCAGCCTGGTGACAAAGCAAGACTCTGTCTCAAAAAAAAAAAAAAAAAAAAAAAAAAAGAAGGAAGGGAGGGAGGGAGGGAGAGACGGAAAAAAGAGTAATTTTGGCCATTAATTATTTTTTTCTCTTTTTTTTATTGTACTTTAAGTTCTGGGGTAAATGTGCAGATCTTGCAGGATTGTTATATAGGTATACACATGCCATGGTGGTTTGCTGCCTCCATCCCCCTGTTACCTACATTAGGTATTTCTCCTAATGTTATCCATCCCAAACCTCCCACCCCTTGCTATCGCTCCCCTAGCCCCCCCACCCCACAACAGACCCCATTGTGTGATGTTCCTCTCCCTATGTCCATGTGTGCTCATTGTTCAACACTCACTTAAGAGTGAGAACATGCGGTGTTTGGTTTTCTGTTCTTGTGTCAGTTTGCTGAGAATGACGGTTTCCAGATTCATCCATGTCCCTGCAAAGGACATGAACTCATCATTTTTTATGGCTGCATAGTATTTCATGGTGTATATGTGCCACATTTTTTTATCCAGTCTATCATTGGTGGGCATTTGGGTTGGTTCCAAGTATTTGCTATTGTAAACAGTGCCACAATGAACATACATGTGCGTGTGTCTTTATAATAGAACGATTTATAATCCTTTTGGTGTATATACCCAGTAATGGGATTGCTGGGTCAAATGATATTTCTGTTTCTAGATACTTGAGGAATCACCATGCTGTCTTCCACAATGGTTGAACTAATTTACACTCTTACCAACAGTGTAAAAGTGTACCTATTTCTCCACATCCTCTCCGGCATCTGTTGTCTTCAGATTTTTTAATGATCGTTATTCTAACTGGCATGAGATGGTATCTCAATGTGGTTTTGATTTGCATTTCTCTAATGACCAGTGATGATGAACATTTTTTCGTATGTTTGTTGGCCTTATAAATGTCTTCTTTTGAAAAGTGCCTGTTCATATCCTTCACCCACTTTTTGATGGGGTTTGTTTTTTTCTTGTACATTTGTTTTAGTTCTTTGTAGATTCTGGATATTAGCCCTTTGTCAGATGGGTAGCTTGCAAAAATTTTTTCCCATTCTGTTGGTTGCCAGTTCACTCTAATGATTGTTTCTTTTGCCGTGCAGAAGCTCCTAAGTTTAATTAGACCCCATTTGTCTATTTTGGCTTTTGTTTCCATTGCTTTTGGTGTTTTAGTCATGAAGTCCTTGCCTATGCCTATGTCCTGAATGGTATTGCCTAAGTTTTCTTCTAGGGTTTTTATGGTGGTAGGTCTTGTGTTTAAATTTTTAATCCATCTGGAGTTAATTTTTGTATAAGTTGTCAGGAATGGGTCCAATTTCAGCTTTCTGCACATGGTTAGCCAGTTTTCCTAACACCATTTATTAAACAGGCAATCCTTTCATTGCTTGTTTTTGTCAGGTTTGTCAAAGATCAGCTGGTTGTAGGTGTGTGGCATTACTTCCGAGGCCTCTGTTCTGTTCCATTGGTCTATATCTCTGTTTTGGTACCAGTGCCATGCTGTTTTGATTACTGTAGCCTTATAGTATACTTTGAAGTCAGATAATGTGATGCCTCCAGCTTTGTTCTTTTTGCTTAGGATTGTCTTGGCTATGCAGACTCTTTTTTGGTTCCATATGAAGTGTAAGGTGGTTTTTTTCCAGTTCTGTGAAGAAGGTCAATGGTAGCTTGATTGGGATAGCATTGAATCTATAAATTACTTTGGGCAGTATGGCCATTTTCACAATATTGATTCTTCCTAATCATGAGCATGGAATGTTTTCCATCTGTGTCCTCTTCCTTGAGCAGTGGTTTGTAGTTCTCCTTGAAGAGGTCTTTCATGTCCTTTGTTAGTTGTATTCCTAGGTATTTATTCTCTTTGTAGCAATTGTGAATGGGAGTTCACTCATGATTTGGCTCTCTGTTTTTCTGTTCTTGGTGTATAGGAATGTTTGTGATTTTTGCACATTGATTTTGTATCCTGAGACTTTGCTGAAGTTACTTATCATCTTAAGGAGATTTTAGGCTGAAATGATGGGGTCTTCTAAATATACAATCATGTCATCTGCAAATAGAGACAATTTGACTTCTTCTTTTCCTAATTGAATACGCTTTATTTCTTTTTCTTGCCTGATTGCTCTGGCTAGAACTTCCAATACTATGTTGAATAGGATTGGTGAGAGAGGGCACCCTTGTCTAGAGCCAGTTTTCAAAGGGAATGCTTCCAGTTTTTGCCCATTCAGTATGATATTGGCTGTGGGTTTGTCATAGATAGCTTTTATTATTTTGAGATATGTTCCATCAGTACCTAGTTTATTGAGAGTTTTTAGCATAAAGGGCTGTTGAATTTTATCGAAGGCCTTCTCTGCATCTATTGAGATAGTCATGTGGTTTTTGTCTTTGGTTCTGTTTATGTGATGGATTATGTTTATAGATTTGTGTATGTTGAACCAGCCTTGCATCCCTGGGATGAAGCTTACTTGATTGTGATGGATAATCTTTTTGATGTGCTGTTGCATTCGGTTTGCCAATATTTTATTGCAGATTTTTGCATTGATGTTCATCATGGATATTGGCCTGAAATTTTCATTTTTAGTTGTGTCTCTACCAGGTTTTGGTGTCAGGATGATATTGGTCTCATAAAATGAATTAGGGAGTATTCCCTCTTTTTGTATTGTTTGGAATAGTTTCTGAAGGAATGGTACCAGCTCCTCTTTGTACGTCTGGTAGAATTCAGCTATGAACCATCTAGACCTGGACTTCTTGTGGTTGGTAGGCTACTAATTGCTGCCTCAACTTCAGACCTTGTTATTAGTCTATTCAGAGATTCAACTTCTTCCTGGTTTAGTCTTGGGAGGGTGTACGTGTCCAGGAATGTATCCATTTCTTCTAAATTTACTGGTTTATATGCATACAGTTGTTTGTAGTAATCTCTGATGGTAGTTTGTATTTCTGTGGAATCGGTGGTGATATCCCCTTTTATCATTTTTTATTGCATCTATTTGATTCTTCTCTCTTTCCTTTTTTATTAGTCTGGCTATTTTTATTGGTCTATCTATTTTGTTGATCTTTTCAAAACACCAGCTCCTTGATTTATTGATTTTTGAAGGGTTTTTTGTGTCTCTGTCTCCTTCAGTTCTACTCTGATCTTAGTTATTTCTTGTCTTCTGCTAGCTTTTGAATTTGTTTGGTCTTACTCCTCTAGTTCTTTTAATTTTGATTGTAGGGTGTTGATTTTCAATCTTTCCTTGCTTCTCACGTGGGCATTTATTGCTATAAATTTCCCTCTAGACACTGCTTTAAATGTGTCCCAAAGATTCTGGTATGTTGTGTCTTCATTCTCATTGGTTTTGAAGAACATTCTCTCTCTCTCTCTCTCTCTCTCTCTCTCTCTCTCTCTCTCTCTCTCTGTGTGTGTGTGTGAGTGTGTGTGTGTGTGTGTGTGTGTGTGTGTTGATTATAACCATCCTAATAGGTGTGCGGTAGTATCTCATTGTTGTCTTGATTTGCATTTCCCTAATGACTAGTGATACTGAGCATCTTTTTATGTGCTTATTGGTCATTTGTATGTCTTGCTTGGGGACTTGTCTATTCAAGTCCTGGCCATCTTTTTACTGAGTTGTTTGTCTTTTTGAAGTTGAGTTGTAGGACTTCTTTATATATTCTGTATATTACATCCTTATCTGATACACGATTTGCAAATGCTTTCACTTATTCTGTAGGTTTTCTTTTCACTTTCTTAATAATGTCCTTTCATACATTAAAGTTAAATTTTGAGGAAGTCCAGATTTGCTTGTGCTTTTGATATCATGAAGTTTTTCAGTCTGGCTGGTGAGAACAGGCACTATCCTGGACCTATGTGAGTAGCAGTCATGGTTACCTTTGGTCTTTTCAAGTGGTTCTGTCATACACAACTGTGCTGGTCAGAACTCAGCTGAAGACTCAGGGGAACGCTTCGCAGATCTCTGTCTCCCAGAACTCTCTCTTTGTGCAGCTCCCTCCTCTCCAGTACTATCTCCTGTAAATTCTAGCTGTCTTTGTCTTCCCAGAGTCTCAGCTCTATCTCCTCAACTCAGGGAACCTGCAGGGCTCTGCCTGGGTTTCCCCTGCCTATACTGCATTCTACATTAAGGTAGAGAAATTGTGGGGCTCACCTTGTTTATTTACTGTCCTTCAGTGATTATTGTCCTCTGCTGCCTGAAGTCAAGTGTCTTGAAAGCAGTTGTTTTATATATTTTGTCTGATTTTTGTTTGTTTCAGGTGGAAGTGTAAATATAGTGTGTTCTTTATTTTCAGATGCTCTTCATATATTCAGGATATCAATTTTCTGTTTGTTTTACTTTGGCCTTCATTTCTAAAATGATTTTTTTCTTGTATTTCTAATTTTTTCCTGAGTTATCTAACATGTCATCAAATATTCCTTTTTTTAAACAACTTCATTTTTTAGTTTTTCAAATTCTGATTTATAGATTCTTCATAGATGCTATCATTTTCTTAATTTCTTTTAGCTTGTGTTGAAATATTAGATTTTTGTTTCCATCTGTCTTACAGGCCTCTTTATGGAGTAGTTTTGTGATCTGTAGTGATATTTTTCTGCTCCTTATTCTTTTTTTTTCTTATAACTTTGAATTTTTTTTTCTTGAGATGGACTCTCACTCTGTTGTCCAGGCTGGAGTGCAGTGGCATGATCTCAGCTCACCGCAACCTCTGCCTTCCAAGTTCAAGTGATTTTTCTGCCTCAGCCCCAAGTAGCTGGGACTACAGAAACACATCTGTGGCCCATTTTTAAGTGAAATAAGTTTTCTTATAAATTCAAGTAGGAAGGATGGGTCAGATATTATTTTTTGCTTTATGGCTCTAGAGTTCCCTTTTTAGTTTTTACAATGTGACTATGTCTCTGTCTCATCTATCTATCAACCTATCTCATTGTTATTATTTATCTATAATCTACCTAATAACTGTCTATTATCCATCCATCTACTGTCATCTCTCCACTATCTACCTACCTATCTGTCTACCTGTCTATCCACCTTTCCATCCATGCATCCATCTCCTCATACTTTCTGAGTCTGCCTCTCTTTTCCACCCTTGTCCAGACAGATTATTTCCCAGCTACTCCTCATTTTGGATTCTACTGCCAGCAATTGATGCTCAGCAGGGGGCTTTGTCCTGGGAAGGGCCTTAGATTATTAGTATAGTAACTTCCTGGCGCTTAGACAACTCCAGCATCTTCAGATCCTGTTAAGGTCTGCTTATACTCACCTATGAATCGTGGCCTTCAGCTGCATTTTCTAGTTAGTATCTGCTGGAAATTTTGAGTTCATCAGCTCTTGGGCCTTCAGACCCCCTCTCGCCTTTCTTCTGCTTCCTCTTACTCAGACATTGACATCAAATGGGTCTTGTCACCTAGATTTGTTGCAGGTGTTATCTGTGAGTCTTTAGTTTTGTCTTTCTAGCTGCTCTATTTCTATGGGAGGAATTCAGAGAGATTAGAAAGTTTTACTGCTGCAACTGCTATCCTCACTGCAATTATTGTTTTTGTATTGATCTTTCCCGCCAGCCCTCCACCATTCACATTCACACGTGTACTGACCAGCCAATTATCTCCCATCCTTTGATGTCCTTCCTTCCCTACTTCTCTCCATCATACAATCTCCTGCTTATGTTGTGTTGCCTCCAGGAAGCCTTCCCTGATACCCCAAGTGAGATCAGTAGCCTCATCTTTTGTGTCCTTGCAGCAGGCTGAATGTCCCTGTCTTACAAGTCATTTCATGCCACTGACTTCCCCACCTGTCCTTCCTGTTGGATGGTCAGCATCTCAAAGCAAGAACCTTGTCCATTCCTCCTGTCCTGAATGCCTGGCCCAGGACCAAGCTCAGAGCAGACACTTTGTTTTTGTTTTGTTTTTGAGATAGAGTCTTGCACTGTCTCCCAGGCTGAAGTGCAGTGGCATGATCTCAGCTCACTGCAACCTCTGCCTCCCAAGTAGAGTAGACACTTTGAAAAGGTCATCATGCATGATTAGATTATACTGGGTGCTGTTAATCCACCTCAGAGCTAGTTAGTGCAGGATTAACATGGCTGTTCCCTTATGTGTACAGTGCATTGTAGTTGACAAGCAGCTTTGCACATACTACAGCCCCTCTCTCTGAGTCTGGTGTAGTTGCAATACTTGACCCTCAGCCACTATTTTTGCATGTTCATTTGCCTGTCTGTTTATCTAGTGTGTCTCCATCTGTCACACTGTGAGCTCACCAAGTACAAGGACCAAGTCTCCTTCATGTCAATAGAAGCCCAGTGCCTGGCATCGAATAGGGACCAGGAAGGGTCTGTTGCATGAACGATTGAAAGGCATTCCTGCTGGCCCTAGCCTGGGGCTGTTCCATTCTTTTCACTGGGTTCTGAGCTCCCTGACTAGAGGTCAGCATGAGGTACCACAACTTCCTTGGGACTCCCCAAACCCAATGTTAAGAGAAGCTCACAGCATCTCTGGCCCTGTCTCCCCAGCCTTTGAGCTTCTGATTGGAGGCCTTGAAGTTGGCCTGTCTCACTTCCCCTTCTTTGCCTGCCTCTCGTCGGAGTTCCAGCTGGTCAGCTCCACCCTGGGCTTCTGCTACTCTCTTATCTGGTAAGACGGTCTCTGCCTGTCCCCACTCCCCCAACTCCTTATGCATGACTGAACTCTGGGTGCAGGGCTAGAGGCGACCTGGGAGCTCTCCTTGGGGGACACCTTTGCCCAGAACTGAGGCCCAGGGAGGGCAAGAGTGACCTGTCCACGGTCCCATTGTGGGGACAGCATTGGAGGCTTCAGAAGGCCAGGCTGGCATTCTATCTGCTTCACACCAGGCTGCTTGTGATTAGAGTGTTCCTAGAAGTCAAGGATTTAGGAAAACTCATTTCTTTTTTTTTTTTTTTTTAATGAATTATAATCTTATTTTATTTATTTCTATTTCAATAGCTTTTGGGGTATAAGTGGTTTTGGATTATAGGGATGAATTGTATCGTAGTGAAGTCTGAGATTTTCTTGCATCCGTCAGCCTAGTAGTGGACACTATGCCTGATCTGAAGCTTTTTCTCCTTCTCCACGCTCCCACCCTTCCCCCTTCTGACTCTCCAGAGTCTGTGATACCATTCTGTATGCCTTTGCACACCCACAGCTTAGCTCCTACTTAGAAGTAAGAATACAGTATTTGATTTTCCATTCCTGAGGAAAACTCATTTCTGTAAGCTGCTGGGGACCCCACTAGAAGACAAAGGAGCCCCTTTCGAGGCTTCTCATCAAAGCTGCCATGGCTTCTCTTGGGAGCCTTGGAGAAAGTTCCCGTGCCTTAGCTGGGCATTCAGGGCCATCACAGTTTAGCCTCTCCCTCTCCCTCCCTCCCCCAACAGTATCTAGCACATACTTCCAGCCACGCAAGACGCCTACATTCCTTCATCCATCTACTTATTCATTCAACACCCATTACATCCCTACTACGAGACAGGAAATAACCCTGGCGAACAAGACAGACTTGCGTGTACCAGGTGTTCTGGCCTCTTTGTCTGTTTGTCCCATTCCCTATGTGGGTCATGTCTAGGGATAAGTGTACACTGCTGCTTCGAGGACAATCACTTCCACCAGATGCAAGCTTCTTGACCTTGCTGTTGAGCTCTGTGACCTCAGACTTGGCACAGAACTGGCACCAGACTTGGCACAGAACTGACACCAGAGAACAGTTGTTGACTGAAAACCCCTCCAACTACTCTCCAGCCTCTGAGACTCATTTCTTTGTTTCCAACTCCTTTGCTGGGCTCTTTCCCCCATCCAGCGTTTTCTATGGGGCTGGGATTCTTAGGCCCCACTTAGTCAGAGATGACGGGCAGGGGTCTCACAAGCAACTGACACGCCAGTGGCTACAATTGTAAAGTTTGTGAGTGGCTTGCTTTTTAAAAATTTAAATGGAAGGTATCCAGGGTTAGATGTGGCGTAATATCATCTCATCAGCCTGTGACAGACGTTTGCCCAGGAGATAACAGGGTGGTGGGAATTGCTCAGCAGCTTGGGCACCATGGGAGTATGGCCCAAGCTGGAACAGGACCAGGAATGCATGTGTGGGTGGGCGTGGGGTAAAGCATCAAGGCTCATCACTTCTGAGCAGAGTCTACAAGCAGGCCACATAGAGGCAAGAAGAGCCCAGGCCACAGAGTCGGGAGACCTGGGTCTGCCCATTCCCATGTGTAACTTGGATAAATCCCTTACCAACTCTGGACTTCCAGCTCCCATTTGAATGATGACAGGAGGGAGGATGAGCTCTCTAAGGGCCTCCTGCTCTGCCATCACAGATTCCAACACTATGTCCTCCATGAGGGCAGGTGAATGAATGAATTTAGTGTGCGCCTACTTTGGCATGAGCAGGGTGGCTGATCAGGGAGAGATGTCCATGGAGGCCTGGGAATCAGCCTTCCTGAGGGGGACAGGTAGGTGCGGGTGGGTGCAATCCGAGCCATTTTTACAGGGGCTGCTCCTGGGGCTGTGCTGGGAGAGAACCCCAGGGCCCCAAACTCTGTTTCTGTTCCTGCAGGTTTGCTGTCACCATTCTTCAAGTTTCACAGTGTCCCCATGGGCAGGTGAGTCTCTGTTGGCCTTTTGGGGTTTTCAGTCCTATCACTGTGGTCAGCTTGCTGTGTGACCTTGAACAAGCCTCTGTCACTTCTGGGGCTCCACTTCCTCATGTGTGTAAAAAGGTAGTTGTTGTCATTCACAGTGCCTCCATTTATATAGCACCCATGTTCATCAAGGTGTGAATTCACAGAAAGGCATTTTCGTATTTACTCCTCTCAGCAGCCCTACAAGGGTGGGAAGTTCATCAAACCTAGTTCACAGGTGAGGAACTAGTATAGTGAGGCTCAAGTACATTAAGTAACTCATAGGAAGCAGCAGAATTGGGAATTGAGGCCAGGTCTGGCTGACTCCAAAGTCAATTTCTTTTCACTCTGTGTAGCTCCAATCTCTTTTTCTATAAAGTGGAAGACTTGGAACAGATGAGCCCTTTCCAGTTTTGCCATGCATTGTCCTCAGAGTTGGTGGGAACTGGTTCATCTCTTTAGCCCTGGACCCCAGTAAAGAGGGATGTAACAGTGCACCTAGAAATGCTACCAGGCAGGTTGCGGGAAGCCCACAAAAGCCACCTGGGCCAGGAGTGCATAGGTACAGACCTTTATGTTTGGTACAACCTCAATTATAGAGCATATAGATATATAGATGAAAGCCACAGAAATGCTGGCAGTGATTATATCTAGCCATAAGCATATGTTGGAGAGGAGGATCAAGGGAAGACATGAGCCCTGCATCTCAGCATATCTCCATCCTGCACCTGAACATCACAACCTCAAATCCCCATTTCCCGTGGGAGGTAATATGACTCTGGCAATGTAAAAAACATGAAACCAACCATTAAAGTGTGAAAGATAAGTCACAATATTATTTGCTTTGAGACAGTGAAAAACAACCTTTTTCATCAAAATAAGACTAAAAACACAAAATCTATGAGTACCTTCTTGAGAGAACTGTTACTCTTCCCTCAGCTTGTGTTGGTCCCAGCCTTATGGCAATTATGGGTTTTTTCTTCCTCTGTACCTCCCTCATTCTATTTCTTCCTCTCTCTTTGTTTCTCCTTCTCCTTCTAAGTATCTCTCCCTCTTTACCTCCTCCTCCCATCTATCTACCCACCTCTGGCTCTCTTACTCGTATATTTTCCCAAAGAAGCATTTATTAATAGCTTCTAATAAGGACAAAATACCTTGAAAACTACTTTCGTTTTGAGACAGGGTCTTGCTCTGTGACCCAGACTAGAAAGCTAGCTTTATAAAATAAAATGGGGGTGCCAAGACTTGAATCCAGGGTTGCTGTGCCCAAGTTCACTGCCCATTCTGATGACGGGGGTTGGGAGATGGGGGATTGGCCACCGACTGCCAAGCCTGAGAGAGGGGGCCTTGCTGGAGCAAGCTGGGGCAGGCAGAGTCCTGCAGCTTCAGCAGGTGACTCGGCCCCACCTGTCTGGAGCCGCATTGTGGTATGCTTCTGTTGCAGTTTGTGGGGAAGTACGAGACCCTCGTGTTCTACTGGCCCTCACTGCTGTGCCTCGCTTTCCTGCTGGGCCGCTTCCTGTATATGTTTGTCAAGGCTCTGAGGGTGCACCTTGGCTGGGAGCTCCAGGTGGTGAGTACTAAGTATGAGCACTGCATGGACTGATGCGTTTCATCCCTACAACAGCCAGGGAGGCAAGTACTGTTACTACACCTCACATTCTGAATTCAGAAGCTTGGATGCACGGAGGTGAGTTGAGTTGTCTGAGGTTCCTAGCTGGGAACCATGAAAATCTGAGACAGGTCTCAGTTAATTTAGAATGTTTATTTTGCCAAAGTTGAGGACACATACCCATGACACAGCTTCATGAAGTCCTGACAACATGTGCCCCGTGTGGTCAGGGCTCAGTTTGGTTTTATACATTTTAGGGAGACATGAGACATCCATCGACAGTTGTAAGATGAACGTTGGTTCTGTCTGAAAAGGTGGGACAACTAGAAGGGGCTTCAGGGCATAGGTAGATGAGACAAATGATTATATTCTTTTGAGTTCTGATTGGCCCCTCTAAAGGAGGCAATCAGATATGCATTTATCTCAGTGAGTAGAGGGGTGACTTTGAATAGCATGGAAGACAGACTTGCCCTAAGCAGTTCCCAGCTTGACTTTTCTCTTTAGCTTAGTGATTTGGGGGGCCCAAGATATTTTCCTTTCACATAGCTAACCTGTAACATATCCAGGAATGGAACCCAGACAGTTCAGTTATGGAGCCTCTTCCTTAACCACTGGCAAACATAGCCTCTTTGACATGAAGCAAATTCAGCAGTGGGATGTGGGGGAGAGGAAAAAACCTATCTTGACCACAGCATGGCTAAATTCAAAAGAGCAACTCCTATCCAAAACCCTGCCCTCTGTGGCCATTGCCCCCACTTAATGAGATCAAAAGCCTAACAAGAATTTATGAGCCAAAGTGTAAGCCTGTCTGCTGTCTCGTAGGAAGAAAAGCCTGTCCTGGAAGCGCACCAGGCAGAGCACGTCAAGCAGCTCCTGAGGACACCCTGCCCACAGTAAGCCACAGTTCTGTTCATTCACCTGCAGGTTTGCATCCACTCTGATGAGCCCTGATGATGTGACAGAACCTGGGATGATCAGAAAGGCACTGTAGTGATCAAGACCCTCATTTGCTAAAAACAGATACCCAACTCAAACTGGATTGAAGCAAAAAAGGAAACTTATGGGCTCCCATCACTAAAAAGTCTAGAGGTAGTCAGTTTCAGGCAAGCTGGATCCACAGGCGTAATTGATATGATCAAATCCAGGTCTCTCGCCCTCCATCTCCCCTCAGCTCTGCTTTACTGTGTCGGCCTCCCATTTAAGTGGGATTCCTCCACATGGTGGCGCCCAGACTCTCTATGTTTATACACTCCTGGTTTAATCCCAGAAGACAGACGAATGCTGCTTTCCAGTTATTCAAATGAAAGTCCCATGAACGTGTTTCACTGGATCAAATTGGATCACACACCTCCCTGGAACCAGTTACTGTGGCAGGGATTGGAGTGCACTGATTGGCTAAGCCTGAGTCACATGTCCCTCCGTTTCCTCCAGAGCTAGAAAGTGGGATCAGCATCTCTTACCCAGGGACAGGGAGTGGTGGTTCCCCAAATAGAAACTGAGGCGTTAGGCTGGGCGTGGCGGCTCATGCCTGCAATCCCAGTACTTTTGGGAGGCTTAGGCAGGAGGATCGCTTGAGCTCAGGAGTTCAAGACCAGCCTGGGCAGCATGGCGAGACCCCATCTCTACAAAAAATGAACTATTTAGCTAGGTGTGGTGCATGTCTGTGGTCCCAGTTACCTGGGAGACTGAAGTGGGAGGATCACTTGAGTCAGGAGGTCAAGGCCGCAGTAAGTGGTGACCACGCTACTGCACTCAGCAGTGACCACATTACTCCAGCCCGGGCAACAGAGCAAGACCCTGTATCAAAAAAACAATGAAACAAAACAAAACTGAGGTGCTGTTTCCAGTAGAGGAGGATATTCATGTTGCCAGGCAAAAGCACCAGATCTCAGAATCATACAAGCCACCACCACATCTGCCCCTTTCACTATGCATGTGGGCATATGCCCCAGAGAAGGGATGTGTCTGGTCCATGGTCATGCAGTGGCAAAGCTAGTACTTTGGTTAGAATTCAATTTGGCTACATGTAGTAGAAAACACAAAATAATAGTGGCACAACCAAGAGAGAGATTTATTACTTTCTCTAATAAAATAACTCTAAAGGTGAGCAATCTATCCTGACCCTGTACTGCCTACCATGACAGTTCACCAATCACCTGTCTTTATGCTCTAGCATCATGTATGTGCTTTCCGTCCTCAATGCTGTCTCATGGTCCAATGTGGCTGCTGGAGCTCCAGCTTGGACCACCCACCACATCTGCATTTCAGACAGCAGGCAAGGCAAGGCAAAGAAGCTTTCCCAGCTGTGTTAGTTCCATCTGAGTGTTCTCTCCAAAGCCCCACACCACACTTGTGGCCACATTTTGTTGGCCCGGATTTAGTCTGGTCACTCTAAGCTGCAAGACAGGTTGGGAACTTTAATCTTTTAGTTTGGTGAATTTCTGCACAAAATAAAATCCAGTTTTTGTCCTTAAGAATAAGGGGAAAATGAAAACCATGGAAGCTAACAGTGATCTCTTTTTACAATATACTCTAAGATAAAAAGAAGGTGGGGCTATTTTAGGATGAATCAGGCATTTGTTTTCCTACCAGCCTCTCATCTTTTGATATTTATATCTCATCCACAGAGAAGAAAAAAAGTCTTGGTTCCAAACCAGGATATACGAGTGGGATCCCTGCTTTCAATTCCCAAGCAGAATGATTGGAACCATTGTATTGGCTTTCATCTGCCTGTACCTTGTAAGTAGCACTAAGAAAAGCTCTTTATATTTTATGAATGGGGCAGGGTTGGGGCTAGGGTTATGGAGTCTTTGAGGCAAGCAGCATGTTCCTAAAGAGTTGGGTCAAAATTGAATCTTGGTAAATCAAAGAAGTACAGTGCTTCAATAACACTATTTTGATTCCAAGGACACTTTTACCCACATGGTGAATATGACCAGTAAAAATAATCCACAAAAAGTAAAACTCATGATGATTAAAGTGCCACATGGTGAAATTTAGTATCAACTAAAACCTGATGAAAAAAATATATATATTTAAGAACATTTTGATATGCAAAATTTGACCCAGGAAAGTTTACTTGGTAGAACTAATGATCCCTAAAGAAAACTCACAATAGTAGAATCTGTGATTAATAAATTTTTCTGTGAGCAAAAATCAAATCACTTAAATGTAAAATAATTGATTCTGACAAAAATAATTTCAATTATTTTTCAATAATCGAATTTAAAATTGTTGAATTTATTATAAATTAATAATTGAATTTATTTTCATTGAACTAAAAATAAAAGCAAATAACTAGAGTTGGTTTACTGTACTATATTTTTAAGCAGATTAAACATTCTTTTTTAAGTTTGCTTTCTCAATAAGAAATTTTACGTACTGGCATAATTCTGACTTCAATGTTTTATTAAGCATAGGATCAAAACATTTTGTGTGGTCAAAGTTATCTGAGATAAAATGGCTGAGTTGAAAGTAGAGTCAAAATGGATGCATGAAAATGGCAAGGCTAAATTGTCTTCTGTTTCTTTTAAATGTACCAGGAAAATACCTATTTAAGTAAATCCTGTGATTAAGTTTTTAGGTGAGTGTATTTGTTAGGTTATGCTGACGTACCAGATAACCTCCTAAATTCCTGTGGCTTAACAGTATGTATTTTTTATCTACACAACAGTGATGAGTTGGGTGTTCAGGTAGGGGAAGATGTACTCATTCAGGAACCCAGAATTCTTCCGTCATGTGCCTTCACCATCCTGGAGAACCTCATCACCGTCTGCACATAGTCAAGAAGGGGGCAAAGCAAGGAGAGATGTATGTGAAGGGTTTCCATGGACTAGGTGTAGAAGTATCACATATTCCTTCCACTCTTCCATTGGCAAGAACTTAGTCATGTGGCCATACCCAATATAAGGGAGACCGGGCAATGTAGTCTAGCTCCGTGCCCAAAGAAGGGAGAATGGATTTTAAGGGACAACAATAACTTTCAAGTTCTCTGCAACAATGAATAACACAGTTGGAATGACATTGTTTCTTAAATATTTATGGAATATCTACTCTGTGCCAGCACTGTGCTAAGAGTTGGAAGAGGGCAAAGAGCTGATTCAGCTCAGTCCTGGGCTAGGAGAACCTCACGGTCTATAAGAAGGAGATAAGACATGGTATGAGGTACCTGCGATCTTAAGAGCGAAAAAGGATAAGGTGACATGCTCTAGAAGTTTAGCAAATCATTCAAGATCTAGCAGCTGCTTGAACACGATAGTGTATGAGCTCCACTTTCAGAAATAAACACAGTTGGGTTGTTGGAGTGAAATGACAGCAGGAACTATAGAAGCAGTGGCATAACAACAGGATGCTAAGATGTTGGGCAACCATGACATTTGTACAGGAAACAGTACTTTCTCCAATGTGCCAAGATCAGTGAAGGGAATCAGTGGGAGATAGGGATAGAATTGTCCCCCAGATCACCCCTTATTCAAAGTTAGTCATTCTTTTCTACTGGTTCTATGAATGTTTGTAGAGTTTCTTGAGCCCTTATGGGCCCTGTCTTGTTTTCTGGAGGGTAAAGAACAGATCATGAAGTGATTCCTGTCACCCAAGAACTCAAAATCCCATTCATCTTAGAATAGCCAGGGTCTAGAATCATTTTCAGAAGAGTTTTGAATCCCTGGAAGACCCTGGCGTCAACCTCAAAGAAAAATCCATGTGTTATTCCCATGATGAGATGGACTAAAGTAAGACCTGGAAACTTTGCTCTCTGTCCCCAGTTCATTGTCATCGAGTTCTGCATGTTTGTGTATGTGAGAGATGAGCTGGACATGTTTGAAAACAAGCTAGAGAGCTACATCAGCTCCATGAACCATTCAGGGATCCTGACCTCAGGCATCCTGCAGGTGAAACAGCTCATCAGCGTTACCAAAGGTAAAATCATAAGCCACCCGTTACCACACCTGTGTGGGAAACTGAGTGAGGGGCTTGTAACTGATGGCAGGTGCACATGTATAGTATTTGTGGCTGCTAGTATTGATATACCTGGCTGAGATGACCACACTTGGAGAAAAATGTGTTAGAGCTGGTTTACCTTCCTGGGTTGACTAGAAAGACAAAGGGGTCAAGACACAGCCATTTCTTTAATGAAGCTGGACCTGAAATGAACATGCCCTGAAAATTTTCTTATCTTAAATTGCCCATTTTGCCTCAATTCCAATGGAAAATACTAAAATTATTCTATATTTTCTATTTTGAAAAAATGAAGCACCAAGCCTTGGTCTTTCTTTATGAAATGTTCATTTATGTCTTTCAAATTTTACTTGAAAGTCACTTAAAAATAGATCTTTTTAACTTAGTCTCTTGTCTAACTGAAATTTTGTATCCTTTGACCCCCATCTCCCCAATTACACCCCTCACACCCCTGCCTGCCCCTGGTAACCACCATTCTACTCTGCTTTCATGAGTTCACCTCTTTTAGATTCCACATATAAGTGAGATCATGCAGTATTTGTCTTTCTGTGCATGGCTTATTTCACTTAATGTAGTGTTCTCCGGGTTCATCCATGTTGTCACATATGGCAGGATTCCTTCTTTTTAAAGGCTCGGTAGTATTCCATTGTATACAATGTATGACGTATTTTCTCTATTCATTCATCTGTTGTTGGACACTTAGGTTGATTCCATGTTGGCTGTTGTGAACAGTGCTGCACTGAAAATATGAGTGCAGATATCTCTTCAATATACTGATTTCATTTCCTCTGGATATGTACCAAGTAGTGAGATTGGTGGATCATATGGTAATTGCTTTTTTACTTTTTTGAGGAAAGGTTGTACTAATTTACAGTCACACTAACAGTATACTAGAGTTCCTTTTTCTCCACATCCTTGCCAACACTTATCTTCTTTATAATAGCCATTCTCACAAGTATAAGGTGATATTTCATTGTGGTTTTGATTTGTATTTCCCTGATAATTAGTGATGATGAACTTTTTTTTTATATACTAGTTGGCCATTGGTATGTCTTCTTTTGAGAAATGTCTCTTCAGGTCCTTTGCCCTAGACAATAAGAAAGGCACTTTGTCTTAAAATGGAAATGACATATTCCAGTGATATATCTATGGATATACAAGTTTTTTGTATATATTTTTATATATTTTGGATATATATCTAGGAGTGGAACAGATGGTTAAACATATGACAACTCTATCTTTAACCTTTTGTTGAACTACTAGACTGCTTTCAAAAGTAGCTGCATCACTGTTTATTCGAACCAGCATTGTGGGAATTCCAATTTCTCTGCATCCTCACCAGCACTTATTATTATCCATCTTTTTATTTATAGCCATCTAGTGGAGATGCAGTGGAATTTCACTGTTGTTTTTATTTTCATTTCTTTAGTGGCTAATAATGTTTAGTATCTTTACATGTACTTTTACATGTACTGGCCATTTGTATATATTATTTTGAGAAATATCTATTCAGATTCTTTGATCATTTAAAAATTATATTATTTGCCTGTTTATTTATTGAGCTGTAAGTGTGCTTACATAGTTTGTATACAAATCCCCTATGAAATACATGATTTGAAAATATTTTACAAATCCCTTATGAAATATATGATTTGAAAATATTTTCTACTTTTCAGGTTGCTTTTTCACTTTTTTTGATGCTGTCTTTTGAAACACAAATGTTTCCAATTTTGATGAAGCCAAATATATCTGTTTTTTTCTTATATCACTTGTGCTTTTGTTGTCTTATCTAAGAAACCATTGCCTAACCCAAGGTCACAAGGATTTTTCTCATATTTTCTTCTAAGACTTTTTAAGTTTTAGCTCTTATATTTAGGCCCTTGATCCATTTTGAGCTCATTTTTATGTATGGTGTGAGGTAGGAGTCTAAATTCATTGTTTTACATGTGAATATCAAGTTGTTCCAGCACAATTTTTCAAAAAACACATTTTTCTCCATTGAATTGTCTTGTTATCTGTGTTAATAATAAAGTGACCATAAGTATGAAGGCTTAATTTGGATTCTCAATTCTATTCCGTTGATCTATTTTTGTGTTCTTATGTCTGTATAACAGTGCCTTCATTGCTGTAGCTTTGTAGTAAGTTTGAAATTAGGAACAGTAAGTCCTATAATTTTCTTTCTCTTTTTCAGGATTTTATTGCCTATTCTAGGTCCCTTCATTTTTATATGAATATTAGCATTAGCTTGTCAATTAATGCTAAGATGGAACTGGAATTCTGATAGGAATTGAGTTGAATCTATAGATCCATTTGGGTAGTATTGCTGTGTTAACAATGAATATCCTATATGTGAACATGGGAAGTCTTTCCTGTAATTTAGGTCTTCTTTAATTTTTTTCAAAATCTTTTGTGATTTTCAGCGTACAAGTAGTACATTCCTTTGCTAAATTTATTATTTTATTTTTTGGGGTACTATTGTAAATGTAATCATTTTCTTATTTCATTTTCAGATTGTTTATTGCTTGTTTATAGAAATACAATTGACTTTTATATATTTCTCTGATGTCCTGTAAACCTTGCTGTACTCATTTATTAGTTCTAATAGTTTTTTGTGTATTTCCTGGTTTTTCTATATATGAGATCATAGAGAGTTTTATTTTTTCCTTTCCAGTCTGGATGCATTTTATTTTCTTTTTCTTGCCTAATTGCATTGGCCCAAACCTTTAGTACAATGTTGACTAGAATTGATGAGAGTAGATAAGGCGTTTTGAGGTTAGGGGGAAAGCATTCAGTCTTTTACCATCAAGTGTGATGTTAACTGTGGGTTTTTCGCAGGTGCTCTTTATCAGGCTAAGGGAGTCATTTTGTATTCCTAATATGTTGAGTAGTGTTGTTTTGTTTTATTTTGAATTGACACATAAACACTGAACATACTTATTAGATACAATGTGATGTTTAAATACGTATATACATTGACCAATGATTAAAGTAGTAGACCCATCCACTTAAACACTTATCATTTATTTGTGGCGAGAACATTCAAAATCCTGTCTTCTAGTTATTTTGAAATATACAACACATTATTGTTAACTATAGCTACTGTACTGTGCAACAGAACACCAGATGTTGAATGTTTTTAATTGTAAAGAGATGCTGGATTTTGTCAAATGCTTTTTCTGCACCTATTGATAATCAGCTTCTATAGAAGTTTTTAAAACAACAAATCATCTTCCTTCCCTGTTTCTACATCCCTCTCTCATGAACTCACACAATCTCTGTAAAAACACATTAGATTCTCAATATCAAAACTTGCTGAAGGGTGGATGAGTAAATAGTGAAGACATCTTGATCCCAGTTACCTTTGTACCCAGTTGAGGTATAACCAACACTCCTCCCAAAAAGTGGCAATTAGAGGTCAAATATGTTTTTCCCATGAAAATAGCCTCTGTCCATCAGAGGCTATTTATGATGTATGGAAAATACTCCATAATTTTTCTTCCTTTATTCACTGTAGAGTGAAAATAGCACAAAATGAGAAGATTATGCAGGAAATATACTAAGGGTTTATGCAGCTAAAATAAAACAGAAAATGAGCAAAAGTTTACTTACACAAGAAATGTGTTAAAGTCTACTTCATTTGCTTAGTACTTTGTGGTGCAGTATTCTGCATTTTGAAAATTCTGTTTCATGTTAATTTTTCGAGGCTTCTCATATCATTTTTCATATTTCAGGAGTCTGGGTGGCAACCATTTTGCCTGCCTCGCTCACGTGTGTGAGCTATCTCTTCCACATTTTGGTCTGTTACAGGTAAGATCACTTTCAGAATCATTTGTGCATCTTTCACCAGGAATATGTATGACACCATAGAAAAATAAGAAAATATAGAAAGAAAAATAGGCCAGGTCCAGTGGCCACACCTGTAATTCTAGCACATCGGGAGGCCTAGGCAGGAGGATGGCTTGAGTCTAGGAATTTGAGACCAGCCTGGGCAATATAGTGAGACCCTGTTTCTACAAAAATAAAATAAAATAAAATAATTAGCTGGGCATGGTGGCATGTGCCTATAGTCCCAACTACTTGGGATGCTGAAGTGGGAGGATTGCCTGAACCTTCAAGGCAGAGGTTGCAGTGAGCTGAGATGGGAAGGAAAGAGAGAGAGAGAGAGAGGGAGGGAGAAGGGAGAAGGCAGGAAGGGAAGAAGAAAGGAGGGAGAGAGAGAGGGAGGGAAAGAGATTGAGGGAAAGAAAGAGAGAGAGGGAGGGGAAGGAAGGAAGGAAGGGAAAGAGAAAGAAAGAAAGTCTCTGGGGCCAGAAAGACTTGATCATCTGCTAATTGCTTGGTCAAGTTATTTAATTTTGTTGATTTTCAGCTTTCTCAACTGCAAAAATAGGAAAGAAAGAAGGAAGGAAGGAAAGGAAAAAAAGGAAGGAAGGAGGGAGGGAGGGAAGGAAGGAAGGCAGGCAGGCAGGCAGGCAGGCCAGCTGGCCACACATAATCTCATCTATCAGATTCAGTCACTATTATGACTCAATAAATGCATATTATTTTTACAAGATGTAATCTGTACTAAAGTTCAAGACTTTTAAGGCAACTTGGAGATCCTCGGTGAGCTGCAGTCGGCACAGGGAGGCTAGGCTGCCCACCATCAGCCTTGCAGGCCTTCCTATGCTATCTTTGGGACTCTAATCACTCACAAAGAACTATCAGTTATGGGCACTACTTGATGTCCCATGTCTTTTCCAGAAAGCACATAAAGAGGCTCTGGGCAGGAGATAAACACTTTCTGCCTTTGAAGTTCCATAACCCGGCCTCATCGGAGAGCGTGGTGAGTCTGCCGAGGTCTCTCTCTGGTCTAGACTAAGCCCTATGCTAAAACCTGAGGATGAGCATGACACCCACCTCACTGGGTTTGTGGGTGAACTTCCAATGAGAAAGGGATGTTGGGCACATGTGGCAGAGGTTATGAAGTTTTCCTCCTGCTCTGAGACCCGTTTTTCCTTTTAAACCTCAGGTGGCCATTGCAAGGTACTCTGGCTGGCAAATAGCCTATATTCTATGGGGTAAGTGCCATTAGGTGACCCATTTAATTCATCACACATCCCCTCATCACCTGGCGAGTCCTGGCTGTGAGTGGGGAGGAGAGAGGTGGTCAGAAGCAGCCCTAGCCTCTGCCCTTGAGGGACTGTCAGGACAGAAGGTGAAACATAGTCTCAAGGTCTTCCTCACCACAGTCCTGAACCCAGGGAGTGTGTATGCTAAGGGTGGTGGTGACCCAGAGGAGACTGTGACTGTCCAGCCCCAGGGCAGGTTTCAGATGCCTTTTAGGGGAGTTAACACTTGAACTGCACCTGACAGGTGGAGTAGGAAGTGAACGGGAAGGAAGGTGAGGCCTTGCCAGGCAGAAGAAACAGATAAGCAAGCGTGCCAGGGTGTCTGGTGGGAGGAGGCTAGAGGGTGGCCTGCAGGAAGGGGTGTGGGAGTGGCTCACGAAGGACCTTGAGTTACCAGCATCTCCCCTTCGCTCCCAGGCTACCTCATCATTCACGTGGTGCAGAGCCTATGTGGCATGGCAATCATGTACGGCCTGGTGCTGCCCATCGTCCGCAAACAGGGCCTGGAGATGCTGCGAGGGCTGGGCATCGGGATGTAAGTGCTGGGCGGGTGTCCTGTCATTGCCATGTTCTGAGAGCTGGGGTGCAGTTCGAGCTGCTGTGTGGGCACATGGTCTTGGCCCTGACCTAAAGATGGGCCGTCATAGCAACTCACGGGGAGGGGAAACAGCGTCCACAAAAGGCTGCGTCTCACACCATTCCGTTATGCCCTCACAACCATGTGTATGTGTGGGATACGTGTATGTCCATTTTCCAGCTGGGAAAATTGAGGTTTAGGAAGGTAAAACAGGAGGCAAGGCAGTATGATGGAAGGAGGCAGGGAATCCTGGCAAAGCTTTTGGATCTGCTGTGTGACCTGGGGTAAGTTACTCCACTTCTCTGGGCCTCAGTTTATACATCTGGAAGACAAAGTGAATGTTGGCTTCATTGAGCATTTAGCATGCACCTTTTCTCAGAAAGCCTATATATGAATTTGGTACTTATGTTACCTTCCATTTTGCAGACCAGGGAACAGAGGCACAGAGAGATTAAGCATTTCCTTCAAGCAGGGGCAAGACTCAGGATTGGGAGCTGGGCAATCTGAAACCAGTGCCTCCTTTTAGCCACTATCTCTCATTGCCACTCAGGGGATGTCAACACAGCACACAGTGCTCTCTGGGGACCCTCCCTGCTGTAAGTTTCTTGATTCCATACTTGCCTCAAGCCACCTGTGAGTTGGGAGCAGAGCCTGTCCTGTCCACTCTCTTGTGGTCTTCTCAGGAACTTCCAAAAACCCCATTCCATTCTTTAGTTCCCAACCTGTTAAACCGCTCACCCAGTTGCCACCCCTGGAGAAAGGGACATCAGTGAAATCTTGGAGTAATGGTCTGTGATCCGGAGCCACAAGACCCGATGTGTGGTCTTGGGAAGGTCACCTCCCCTTTGTGAGCCTCGTTTTTCTCCTGTGCACAGTGAGCATGGGAATCCTTTGTAAGCATAAAGCACGGGGCTCACATTACAACTGTTCTGCCAGGTGGTCAGCCTCTCTCCTCTCTCTCACTGGGCATCAGAGAAGGGCCTGGCAGAGGGGAAAAGACCACCTCAGGATGGCCCCACTCTGTTTCAGCCTCACCATATCCATTGTTGTGGGTCTCATGATCCTGCAGATGTGGATCGCCACCAGCTTCTTCCTACAGCCAAAGCTGGGCACAGCTGACAAGCAGAAGCCCCTGGCTCTCAACAACAGGTGATGGTGAAGGAGGGAATGAGGGAATTGTGGGCCTTTGCCTTCGGCTGTCTCTGAGTCCCTCCCTGTCCCCCATGGCAGGTTCTTGTGCAGGCCCCATACTCTCTGCGAAGGCCAGGTATGGTGGGTCAGTGGTGGGCTCTGGAGCTAGACTGCTGGGGTCCAGATCCTGGCTCTACCCCTTAGGAGCCATGTCACATGTGGGAGCTTACTATGAACCTCAGTTTCCCCATTTACAAATAATTGTGTATATCTCAAAGAGGCGTTGTAAGGATGAAATGTGTTAAAATATGAACTTAGAACAATAGTGCTCGGCACATGGAAATCCTTTCTAATTCGTTCATTCAAAGCCATCCATTCATTGGGGGAATAACATGGGCATGAGGGTAAAGAGATAATCCCAACACAATTTGCCTGTGAGAAGCTCAGTCCACTGGAACAGACAACAGGCACATAAACAAGAACAGAGGACGCCAGGGAGTGCAAAGGAATACAAGAGAAACCGGAGGAGAGGCAGGGGTGGTTAACGCCACTGCAGATGGGACTCTGGAGATGAGGTCAGCAGGACAGTAGGATTTCTACAGGCAGAGAAGAGGAGAGGGTATGGCCAGCAGCCAACACCACAAGGATAAAGGCGGGAAGCCACAAAACAGCAGGATGTGTTAGGAGAAGAGTAAGAATCCTAAATGGTTGCCATGCAATGGCCTTAATGAGTGACAGGAAGGGGACACAAAGAAACAAGACCAGAAGACCTCTGGGGGCAGTGAGGGGGCTGAAACTCAGGATACAAAGTTTGGGCTTTATTCCAGAGGCAACAGGAAACCACATGATCAGGTGGTCATTTGGGAAATTTCCTTTGGAAGATGTTGGAACAGCTGCAACTGGGAATAGGTCCCTGGTGCAACAGACATGGAGAAGCCCCACTTCTGCCATAATCACTGACCCAGCTGCAGCCCTATGCAATTTCTTACCATGGAGGAAGCCTCAGACCCCAAGGATTGCATGAAACAATGGCTGTCCCCACTGACATTTGTCCTTCACTGAACTTAGTGGCCCCCACCCTACCTGAGCCACTCCTCATACCAGTGCTGTGAGGTGAGGGCAGTCAGCTCCCGTTGATGGCACGAGGTCACAAAGCTTTGAGCCTGGACCTGCAGGATCTGACCCTGGGTCTGGGAGACTCCAGAGTCCCTCAGCCCAGCAACCTTGCTCTATTGAAATGTGGTGCCTTGGGCCGGCTTCTGTTTGTAGGAAAGCATTCCACAACTTCAGCTACTTCCTGTTTTTCTACAATGTGCTGCTGGGCCTGGGTGCCTGCCTCTCCAGGCTGCTCATCAGTTGCTTCCTGGGCATGTGGCTGATTGCCCGCATTGACAGGACCATCATGCAGAGTGGCTATGAGGGAGCAGACATGGGTAAGTGATCAGCACCCACCCGGCCACATCCTCTGGAGAGGGCTGGTCTTTCACCTTTGTGGCAATTGCCTGGGAAGACAAGTATCAGAAGCCTGGAGTTCATGCCTTTTATTTATGCTCAGAGTTTATCTTTCAGCGGAAGCTTTAAGTATGAGTAATAAAGACACATGCAGCCTGCTGGTCAAAAGGGAGTTCAAGGCTATTAAATTCCTGCCCATTTGGCAGACCTTTGAGGTATAAAGGAAGAGGGGTCAAAGGTAGTCACATTCTATCTGAACACTTAGAAGCTAATTTATGAATGCACAGCTCTGAAAATTTTTAGAAAGAACACATCTCAGAATTATTAGTGTTGTTAGTAGGAAACAGTGCAGAAGATGTTCTGTTCAGTTGAAATGCTCCAAATTCAAAGCCATTTCTGGGGAAGCAAAAGTAGTTTTTGTTCTATTCTGAGCCCAGAGTCATTCATTCACTCATCTATTCAATAAATGTACTGATGCTTGCTTGGAATTAGCCACAGTAGCTCCTAACCCTTTGAGCTTTGAGCTCCCCATAAAATGGGCAGATTAGAATATGATCTATAAGAGTACTGCAGATCTTTATACCTCATTTTCTAGATTCTCAGAAAAGACTCAGACACCATTGGAGAGCAAACTGGCTCTGCAGTTATATCATGAAAAGCACAAATCAGGCCACGTCAGGAGGTACTGCCTGGCCTGACCTGCCTCTGGATTTCAGGGTTCAGTGCATGGATCGGCATGCTCTACGTGGACCATTACCACACCAACCCTGTGCTCGTCAGCTTTTGCCACATTCTGATCACAGATCATAGGGAGAGGAAGCTGCAGCAGACCACCAAATACTGGTGCCTAAATCAGTCGGCAGGTAACGGCTCCTGTTTGGACCTACGCTGGATTCAGACAACAGGAAGTAAATACCCTCAGACTCCCTGGGATCCCTGAGGTGCCCCATGGTCCACTGTTCCTGCTCCTTTTCTCCAAATTCCAGGCTCTCTTTGAACTAGGAAGCCCAGGAGGCTTAGCTCCCAGTCAACCTGACTATGGGACCCACTCAGGCCTTGTGTCCTTGTCCTGTTAACTGGCCTCCTGCCTTGTTCCTGGAAGTGAACTCTAGTTCTGCTAGTGGAGTTCTCCATTTGTTTGAGTCTCCAACCCTTATCCCAGGCTACATGGCAGATGCACTCCAAGATGAGGCTACATTTTGATGATTCTGCCCTGTTGCTTACCACAAGATCCCTGAGGCTCTCTACCCCTCTAGGGCTCAGACTCTCTAGGGCTCAGATTAATAATGTTCATTGCTATTTCCAACACTGTAGATACTCAATTCTGAGGGACAACTTACATCCCTCCGACCTCCCTCATGTCCCCAGGAGTCCCAGTCTAGCTCCTTCTACCACATCTTACACATTCCAGGCAGCTCTTTCAAATGCTTTGGAGAGGGAGTTCCCCTCCCTGAGACCCCCTCCTTTCTTCAGTCTGTCTGCTCTGATTCTATCCTAGGTCCCCGTGTCTCAGCTAGGTCCAGAACAAGGTGGCTCCTGTTGCAGACCCTAATCAAGAACCCAAGACTCGTCATGCTCAGAAAATCAAAATTAGGGCACAGTTCCCAGGAGTCCCAAATTCTGATGACATGTTCGGAGAGCTGATGCTGGCCCCCATCATCTGCTCCAAGGCCAGGCTAGGACATCTGCCACCAAGAGAGGGCTCAGTCTAACCAGCAGCTGTCTCCTGCAACGAAATGGGATGGCACAGGCACCATCCATGCAGACAGTAGACAACATTGGCTACTCATGGAATGGCCACCTGGACTGAGGGATGAAGCCTGACTATTTTACTCCCTTGGCAAAAAAGATTAAAAAACTAAAGAAAAGTGTGTTGAACAAACTTTGCCCATTAATGACTTCCACTATCCATTGTGGGTAGGCAGCCTTGGAGAGTTACCTGATAAAAAGCACTTAGTTTACCTACAAGGCAGAATTTTATGTCACTGGAGAAGGTAGTAAAATATGTACATCAGGAGAGTTTAACCATCAGGTCCCATTTTTCTCTGGAACAGAATGTGGATTTCAATCCGACAGCATCCTCATTGCTTCAGTCTTGCCAGGCTTTATCACAGATGGGAAAGAAGGAACTCCATGATTCTGGCCCCCAATTTTGTTGGACCTTTGCAGGCATACAACAGGCTTTCTCTCCCATCACCACTGATATGGGAGGGGAATGGATCAGAGCTAACTTGGGCCTTAGTCATACAGCAGATGCACAGATTCTTTCTGAGAAGGGTGAGATTACTTGGAAAAGCCACCTGTCTGAAGATGCAAAGACAGGGTGGGCAGGTATTCTAGTGGGGGATCACAAGAGTAAAGTTGTGTGAGCTAGAAAGCCTCAAGCATGTTTGAGGAGGGTGAGCCATGTGACATGTCAGGTTACAGGGCTCTAGGGGCTGGCCAAGGCCATCCCAAGAAGGGCCAAATGTCATGCCAGGAGGCTTGGACATTTGTCCTGTGCTTCTTAGGAGGCTGAAGTGGGAGGATTGCTTGAGCCCAAGAGTTTAAGGTTACAGTGTGAGCCATGACTGCCACTGCATTCTAGGCTGGGGAACAGAG